GACAGAGTAGAACTGCCCCATAGGGTTTCCAAGGAGTGGCTGGTGGATTCGAACTGCCAGCCTTTTGGTTAGCAGCCAAGCTCTTAACCATTGCGCCACCAGGGCTCCATAACTATAACCAAACCAAAACCAAACCCAAGGCCATCGAGTCGATTCCGACTCATAGTGACTCTATTGGACAGAGTAGAATAGCCCCGTAGAGTTTCCAAGGAGTGGCTGGTGGATACAGACTGCTGACCTTTTGGTTAGCAACCATAGCTCTAACCACTGCGCCTCAAGGGCTCCAACCATACTATGCACATATGTATTCATATTTTAATATTTTCTTGCTGTTGTGGAAGAACAACAGCATTTTATTTGGTTTTGTTAATATTTTTTCTCACACCTATCTAAGATTCTGAAAGGGTATATCATATCCCCTCTTCCTTACTCTAATCTCTCCTCTATTTTTCTTTGTAACACTTACCACTACCTGGCATTATGACATTATTTTTGTTTATTCAGTGTCTCCCTAACAAGATTGTAGGCTTCATCAGGACAGGGACCTGGTCTCATTTGTTGCTGTACCCCACATCTAGGTCAATGACTGGTACTTAGTAGTGCTCAATGAAGACTTACAGTAGGAGGGTACTGAAGTAATTCTTTAATTTGGGACAAATATATAGGATGTTAGGCCCTTGATTGTGAAAGCCTTTAAACAGCTATAGTTTTCAGTAATTTCGTAGGGTAGTGTACCTCCAAGTATTTTGCTTAATGTATTTTCTTGGTTATTTGTTTCTGTTTTTACTGTGAACTGAGCCAGACCCACTATAATATATTAACAGAATTTAAAATGGAAGACCTTTAGGTAACAGCATTTTTTTTTTTTTTTCTTTATTACAACAGGTTGTTTTGGATGTTGGTTGTGGAACTGGAATTCTCTCTATGTTTGCTGCTAAATCCGGTGCAAAGAAGGTTCTTGGAGTTGATCAATCTGAAATACTTTACCAGGCAATGGATATCATAAGGTAGATGCATTTTAAGGCTTGATTTAAGATTCTTTTTAAAGATGACAGTTGTTTATTTAACAGGTTTTCTTGTCTTTATTAGCTATTTAATGCAGAATCAAGACATTGTCTTTTAGTAAAAATTCATTCCAGAATAACAAGATTTTAAGTTGGATTGAGATAGACATGTTTGGACTATGAATGGTGCTCAGTAATCTTCATGGTAGTCATTGATGAGAATTATTTTTCTGGCTTACCAATTAAGAGTGTAAATATGCTGATTCTAAATAATAGAAATCATTGTTATACACAGGGTACTGTTGACAGAGGACTCTTTAAAGAACTGAATATTTGTATCAGTAATATTTCCTTTAACAAATGGCAGTTAGACTAAAGATTAAAGGGTTGTCTATCTTTTTCTTTTGTAATGATTCTAGCTCTTGTGCCTCCACCAAATTACAGTAAATAAATTCCACAATGGCTAAAAACAAGGCAGAGGGTGTTTAGTATGTCCCTTAAAACTTAATTTTAGTCTCTAAAAACATCTCTTCTCTTTGAGTAGTTAGTTAGTTAATCTATCAATGATTGATTTTGAGATTGACTTATGTCCTAATAAGAAGGCCTTTATTTCAAGTGCAGTTTATAGAGCTAGTCTTCTTTAGCTAACAAAAGCCCTTACATTAGGAACCTAGAAGTAATTTCTAGAATAAATAATTAGTAGGAGGCTTCTCAGTTTGTTGTTAGGTGCCGTAGAGTCGGTTCCAGCTCATAGCAATCTTGTGTACAACGGAACGAAACACTGCTAGGTCCTGTGCCATCGTTGTTATGCTTTAGCCCATTGTTGCAGCCACTGGGTCAATCTATAGTCCTCCACTTAATACTTGTGCTCTACGTTTAAAATGGATTTATGTTGATCTTTTTTGATGACATTTAAACTATAATAAAGAAGCATAGTATTGTAGTTAAAAGCACAAGGTTTGGAGTCAGGCTTGGGTTTGAGTACTCACTCTACCACATACCAATTCTTGTAACTTGGGTTAAATTATATCTAATCTCTTTGAAGTCTTTGTTGTTTCACTGTCAAAAATGGAAATGATAATAACTACCTCATAGGAGGAAGGAGCCTTGGTGGAGCAGTGGTTAAGAGCTCGGCTACTAACCAAAAGGTCGGCAGTTCGAATCCACCAGCTGCTCCTTGGAAACCCTGTGAGGCAGTTCTCTGTCCTGAGGGTCCCTGTGAGTTGGCATCGACTCAACTGCAGCAGGTTTGGTTTGGTTTCCATATGAGGAAGGTAAATAAGTTCCAAGTAAGATACACATCAAAATCACTTGGGCATATTTCCTGGCACATAGTAAGTATTCAAATGTCAGCTACTATTGTTATTAAAAAGTGCCAAATTAATGTTAATGGAAAAATTAGATTTTTCATATATTTGTGGTGGTTATTTTTATGTGTGTTTGTGTATATATGTGCGTGCGTGTGTATGCAATTCTATAATCTAGTAAAGTTTCTTGCTAGTTCTTAAGATACTGTTAAGGAACCCTGGTGGCTCAGTGGGTAAGTGCTCAGCTGCTAACCAAAAGGTTGGTGGTTTGAACCCACCAGCCACTCCGCAGCAAAAAGATGTGGCAGTCTGCTTCCGCAAAGATTACAGCCTTAGAAACCATAACGGGCAGTTCTACTCTGTCCTGTAGGGTTGCTATGAGTCAGAATCTACTCAATGGCAATGGGTTTAAGTACAGCATCATTTTGGGGGTCCATAAAAAGCACCGTGATTTGTCTGTGCATTGTCGTCCAACCAAAGTAAGAACCACTGTCCTAAAGAGGAGATTGTTTTAGAAGAAATGACTTACTAAATTTTTATTGCTGATGGTAAGATTGTGGTAAAATACTTCTATTATACATTCTAATCTTATGAAAGACCATGTCCCTTCATGCATTAATTTGTCATTTTCGAGTTCTATGCAGTGAGACTTCATGTGCTCTTAATTTCTTAGTTTATGCAAGAAAAGGAAGAGGATTCTGAGAACACTTATTTTATTTTACTCTCTTTTGTTTCATTTCAATTTGTTACGTTTTATTTCACTGAAACCCTGATCTCCAGTGACGTTATAAAAACATGTTTATACAAATGATTACATTCAAATCAATTGTATATAAAATATAGTACTGGCACACTGGAATACTATGCAGCAATAAAGAACAACAGTGAATCCGTGAAACATCTTATAACAGAGGAATCTGGAAGGCATTATGCTGAGTGAATTAAGTCAGTTGCAAAAGGACAAATATTGTATAAGACCATCATTATAAGAACCAAAAGAAGGTTTAAACATAGAAAAAAACATTCTTCGATGGTTACGAGGGTGGACAGGGAAGGAGAGGGTTATTCACTAACTAGATAGTAGACAAGAATCATCTTAGGTGAAGGGAAGGATGACACACTCTGCAGGGGAAGTCAACACAACTGGACTAAACCAAAGCTAAGAAGTTCCTGAATACAACCAAACACTTCGAGGGACAGAGTAGCAGGGGCAGGGGTCTGGGGACCATGATTTCAGGGGACATCTAGGTCAGTTGGTATAACAAAGTTTATTAAGAAAATGTTCTGCATCCCGTTTTGATGAGTGGCGTCTGGGGTCTTAAATGCTAGTGAGCAGCCATCTAAGATACATCAATTTGTCCCAGCCTACCTGGAGCAAAGGAGAATGAAGAACACCAAAGACACAAGGAAAGTATTAGCGCAAGAGACAGAAAGGGCCACATAAACCAGAGACTTCATGAGCCTGAGACCAGAACAACTAGATGGTGCCTGGCTACCACCAGTGACCACCATGACAGGGAACACAACAGAGAGTCCCTGACAGAGCAGGAGAAAAGTGGGGTGCAGAACTCAAATTCTGGTAAAAAGACCAGACTTAATGGTTTGATTGAGATTGGAGGGACCCTGGAAGACATGGCCCCCCGACTCTCTGTTAGCCTAAAACTGAAACCATTTCCGAGTCCAACTCTTCAGACAAAGATTAGACTGGACTATGGGACATAAAATGATACTCATGAAGAGTGTGCTTCTTAGCTCAAGTAGATACATGAGACTAAATGGGTAGCTCCTGTCCAGAGGTGAGATGAGAAGGCAGAGAGGGTCAGGAGCTGGTTGAATGGACACAGGAAATATGGGGTGGAAGGAGGAGTGTGCTGTCACAGTATAGGGAGAGCAACTAGGGTCACATAACAATGTATGTATACATTTTTGTATGAGAGACTAACTTGAATTGTAAACTTTCATCTAAAGCACAACAGTAAAAAAAAAGAAAAATTAGATAGGAAAAATGTATGTATATATAGTGCTGGAGTGTATGATGTCCAAGCCTCTGAGAAAAAAATATGTAAAATATTTCTGATGTATGTATCTAATTTTCAGTTATTTAAAATAGGGAAATGTTTGTGATAGAAATTACTGATAGAGGGAAATTATTTCCCAGTACCCTTTTTTGTGGTCATCTAAGCACTTTATCACTATGTTTACTTTAGTCTAGATTTACAGTTCTGAAGGAATAAGATAGCGGAATTAAGCATACTTGTGGTATGTAAATGGACTCCCAGCAAAAAAGAAATAAATTCTTAAAAAATGTTATGTTTTTTCTTTTTTTTTTCAAATTAATTGGTCCAACCTGTATGTGCAAATATAATTTAACGTAATTTAATACATTGTAACTTAATACCTTCATTAAAAACTTTGAAAATATTTTAAAATACCATTTAAAGATATTCACAGTAGTTCTATCCCGATTTAAGAATAATTTTTTTTTCTGCCTACATTACTCTAAATATTTTTATTAGAGTCAGAAGACTTTCCACGGTATATTCATGACTGGTCTAGAGCCCAGAATAGCTTGGAATTAATTTCTTGTGTTTTTCAATTCTCCAGGACATCTGCGTACATACTTTTAATCAAAGGATGGGTGTCAATTTGTGTTTGTTAGTATTCTTTCTGTTAAAATAGCAACTTGCTGCTGTATCACTGGACAGAAGTAGAAATGTGTGGACCTTCAGCAAATGAGAATTAGGTCATAAGGGAATGCTTTTCCATCTACCCGAAGATAGTAAATTGCTCCTTCCTTCTCATCTTTAACTCTTCTACATTTAAAAGCCAGAGCTATGAGAATGAGTCTTTAGCAATAGTCACAGAATTCCATGCAAACTTGTTTCTGATGTAAGTTAAAGTTATCTTAGCTATGTAAGCACATAACTTTTTTTGACTTTTTAAAAAAAGAATTTTAACTAAGATTTTTACACAGTGATGATGAGTTTTTCATCTGGTAATTAGCATCATGGTTTTTCATTAAAATTATTAGGATAAAAGATAGACCTAGGACCTAAAACTTGAGTTCTGACCAACTTTTTTTTTTTTTAATATTGTGTTTTCAGCAAAAGTTTACACAGCATATTAGGTTCCCATTCAATAATTTCAAAACAAATTGTTCAGTGACATTGATTACATTCTCCACAATGTGTCGATACTTCCATTGTTTCCTTTCTGGTTTTTCTGTTTCCAGTATTCTAGTTTCCTTGTCCCCTTGCTGTCTCATCTTTGCTTTGAAGTAATTGTTGAACATTTGGTCCTCATATAGGTGGTTTTTTTAAAGGAGCGCAGTACTCATTGGTGATATTTTTTATTTTGTGAGCTAATCTATTATTACGCCTAAAGGTAACCTCAGGGGATAGTTTTGTTTCAAGGTTTAAAGAGTATCTCAGGTCAGTAGTCTTGGGAAGTCCTTTAGTCTCAACCAGTCCAGTAAGTCTGGATTTTTTAAGAATTTGAGTTCTGTTCTCTCTCTATGTATTTCTTCCCCATTCTTTCAAGGTCCATCTATTGTATTCCTTATCAGAATGGTTGGTAGTGGTAGCAGGGCACCATCTAGTTTTTCTGGTCTCAGGGTAGATGAGGCCATGAAGTTTCTTCTTTGAGTCTTAGGTTTCCTTCTTTGTCTTTTGCTCCAGACTAAGATGCAACAGTATT